TTCATCTGTACTATTACATTTGTTGCAACTTTCACTTTTGCATAAATCATTCAACTATTATTTATTTGTTTCTATGAAATTTCAGCTATTCTTTAATTTCAAAGAAAGGCATCTCCCACTTCAAATATGTGGAATATATTTATACTAGACATCTGTTACATTACAGACTCCCATCTATTATATGACAGACTCAAATCCGTCACGTTTCAAATATCAATCAGTTATTTTACAATCCCCATCAGTATTATTACAAGACTATATCTTCTAATTTGTGTTCAAGTCAAGGAAGTATTTGTCAGATGTTCATCTGTCATTTGACAATCGCGTATCTGTAAAGTTCCAAACTTTATCTGTTGCTTTATAGACACCATTTATTATATACTTTTGGTTGTCTTTCACTTTTGCACCAATCATTCCAGATCACATTCATCCATATGTCATGTTCTAATCAATATTCCATAAATTGACAATCGCGAGTCAGTCAATTTTACATCGTCCATCAGTTGCTTTATAATCTCTATCTGTATTATTACAGGTTGATATCTATTTGCACTTTGGCATGGAACATGCAACTCTTAATTTTGACAGTCCAGAATCTGTTAAATTCCAAGCATCGATTTGTACTTATACATTCTTCCATATGTATTATTACATTCGGACATCTCTTTCCTATTTTGCGTGGATAACAATCATCCATCACCACTTTACATTCATACATAGAATGTTTTCTACTTTCCCGACTGTTATGTTACAGTCATCCATCTGTTATTTGACAGTCGAAAACCTGTCGTGTTCCTAGCGTTCTTCTATTGTTTTACAATCGCATATCTGTATAATTGCTATCGGATATCTCTTTCCAGTTTTGCATGCATTTGTCATATTATTATCTCTACTATATAAATGCAATTCAGGCATCCATCTCTTCAGAGTCAAGGACTTTTTATACATGTCCATTTGTTACGTTACAGTCATCCATTTGCTATTTGATAGACCAGAATTTGTCAAGTTCCAATCATCCTTCTATTCCTTTACAATCAGTTATCTGTATTAATTGTGCCACATTACATTTAATCATGCAACTGTCATGTTCCATTTTTGCATTAATCATGCCATTGTTATTTGAGTCACCATTATGTGTGAATTTCTGAAACTATTCTGTAAATGAAAGCACAGCTATCTGTTATGTTATAGTTGTGAATCTGTCCAGTCCCATGTCTTCATCAGGTTCTTTACAGTCTCCTTTTGGTATACTTTCAATCTGATATCTATTTCCATTTTGTATTCAACATATGTCAATTTTTATTCACTAGTCTTTATATGCACTCAGGCATCCATCTTTTCACATTCAGGGCCTATTTTTGTACTCACCAATCTGTTATGTTACAGTCCTCCATCTATCACGTGCCAAGCTTTTATCTATTGTTTTGTAGTAGGCCATCTGTAGTTTTACAGTATCTGTTTCCATTTTTGCATCGAACACAAAATTGCTATTTATGTCAACGATATGCTAGTTTACATTCATGCATGTGTCACTTTTTAATGCTATTCTGTAAATGCACACAGGCATCTGTCTCTTCAAATTCATGGACTAATTTTCTACTTGGCCATTTGTTATTTTACAGCTGTCCATCTGTATTATTACATTCTGATGTCTATTTCCATTTTAACATCGAACATGCAACTATTATTTGAAACATTCATGCAGGTATATTACAATTGCATTTTTGTTAAGTTGCGTGCAACGAGCTTCATTTTGCATTCATCATCTGTAATTTTACACTCAAGTATCAGTACATTTACAATCATGTATCTGCTTCCCTTTTGTTACAATCATGCATCCATTATTTGAAATACATTTCTTCCATTTTACATTCATACATATGTCATTTCACAATTTTCAAACTGTAATTGCACAATCAGGCATCTATCTTATTACAATCATCCTGCATTCATAAAACCAACTCGACATCCGTTAATTTGCAATCGATCATCTGTCTAACAATCATGTACAGTTACTAGATTGTGTAAACAAATTACGAAGCAACACGCTTGAAGTGGAAGAGCACAAGCAAAACTGCATCTAAGCAACAAGAAGATGAAGGAGGATGAAGAAGAAGCTGAATGAAGCTTGAATCATGTGGCATAGATACCTTTGTGTGGCCAAGAAAAGCTTCCTTCGGCCAATATGGAGGGCTTTGGCTGGGTAGGAGAAGCTTGGATTGGCCGGCATGGAGAGTCTTCGGAGTGCATCTAAGTAGCAAGAAGAAACAGGAGAATAAAAAGGAGGAAAAGGGTGAGGAGGAGGACAGGGAGGAGGATGGGGAAAGAAATCAAAGGTTAAGCTTGGTTTGAGATTGACACAGGAAGGATGAGGAGAAAGAGGAGAAGAGAAGGTGAGGGTCGGTGGGGTGGGATCGCTGAAGCAAGCTGGAGGGAAGATCGACAAGTGGGAGGGATGACCATCGGGCTGGAGGAGGATGGGGAAAGAAATCAAAGGTTAAGTTTGGTTCGAGAGCGACGTAGGAAGGAGGAGGAGAAAGAACAATGATGGAGCTAGAGGGGGTGGGATCGCCGAAGATCGTTGATAGAGCGGGAAGGATGATCGCCGAAGAACGTTGATGGAACAGGGGATTTTGGCGGGATAAGGGTATTTTGGATATTAGAAAATACCTTAAGTGGGAATATTTTTGAAATATATCTTTTTTGGAATTATTTATCCTTCAGGATCTTTTTTGAAAATATTTTTAAGATATGACCTTAAAAGTAATTATTATATTTTAAATTATCTTTTTAGTAATTATCTCAATAAAATATTACATCAATTAATGTGTGTGCGTCTCACGGTTGGGATGGTAGCACCGTCAAAGCAATTAGTGTGTGTCGTACTAATCGGCCATCACGCTTGCAAAGACAAACCATCCGCTGATTTTGGATCCGCCGCCCCAACCCCCAAACGGGCCCCATTGATCAACGGCCCAACCCAAACCTACCATTTTACCCATGGATTTAACGCTAGGGGCGCATAGCCCCATTTACCTCCCGATTAGTTAATTTATTCACTTATTTTTCACAAACAAAAATAATAATAATTGAGGACTCATATGTGAATGAAATAAATTTCATGGGCCAATGCCGCGAAATGGAATTTAATTCTCCCAGTCCCCACGCGAGCGTGGCAAGCCTAGTTAAGTACGCATTCCATCAATTTCTCTCACTGGTCACCACTCTTCCCTCTTAACTGCCCTGTTCCCTCCCTCTTTATCCTCTCAAAAACCTTAGGTGCTATAAGATAGAGTGGAATCTCTCAAAAATCTTAGGTGCTATAAGATAGAGTGGAATCTTAAAAAAGGAATAGGAATGGGAATAATAATAAAAATATTATAAAATTATGTTCGGTAGGTGTTTTAGAATGGGGGAATGAGGATTCTTTCAAATGATAAAATCTGGATTCTATCACTAGGGTGATGAAATCCAGATTCCATTCTTTTAACTCAATATAAATTTACTTAATTATTCTTTATGTTTTTTTTATAAATGACAAAACTACCCTCATATACAAAAGTCAAAAATATTTTATATTAATGCATTTTATTATTTTTTTTCTTATATTAAGAGATATTAAAATAGCAATAGAAGAAATGAAAATATAATATTGTTGCATGCTAAATTATATAACGTGTTAATAATCTGAGATATAGAAAAAAAAATTATTGAAGAATTAAATTGTTAAAAAAAAACCAAACACTATTTTATAAAATTTCAATAACTATATATAAATATATTATAATATTATATTATTAAATTATTTATTTTGAAATTTAATATATAAGGATAGAATGTAAATTTTTTAAAATTTTAATTTTTATTATATTATAATATATTAAAAATAAAAGTTATTTAACTATTTTTAACAAAGGGTATTTTTATCTTTCAACATTCTTTTTGTTTACTTTCTCACTTTTATTCAAAGATACCAAACGTAATGATAGAATGAAAAATTTTCATTCTACTAGTATATACCAAATATACTTATAAGAATTTTAATTCTATTCTATTCTAATTCTGATTCCCATTCTATCAAAAATCATTCTATCGTACAATACGCTATCTCAATTCTCTTCCTGAACCCACCACCACCTCCTTAACATCGCTGGAAACCAACATCCCACCGTCCAATTCGGCCACATGATCTCCACTAAATGGAAACAGAGTCCCAGTTTCACTAGCTATATATACACATAGATATATATTTTATTGTATTGTACGCACAAACATCCAAATGGGTTGCTGTTCCAGCAAAAACCACAAATTTAACAGAAAGCTTCACTCTCCCTCAAATATGGACAATAAAAAATTGAACAAACAGTAAGAATAGTAGAAACAAGGAACAAATAAGAGTGAGCTGAAGTTCTCCCGCCAAACTCTCGTATAACATGCAAAACACAAAATACGGGTCACAAGAGAGAAGGGATTCCCTTATATATATATTATATAAAAAGGAAAACGGAGGGAGGAAGACAGAGAATAGCGTCTGCTTCCTCCTTTTGCTTTCTTTTTTAAAGAGGGAGTCGTGTTCCTAGCTGGGAAAGTCAGGCTCTCCAAATTTGAATCACGGAGGAAGTTATCATCCAACAATGGACTTCCTTTATTATAAAAAGAAAAAAAAATTATATAGAAATCAGTTTTCTTTTTTTTATATATATTTGGTGCGGACTAATTTTTACATGAAAGGTAGAAAATGACTTCCATATTAAACTCCATTTTGTCAAAATTAACTCGAAATCGATTTTACATATTTAGATAATTATTTTTATTTTTACATAAATTGTTAATAAAAAATGTAATATATCATTAATATAAAAACCCTGCAATCATTGACGCAGACGTCTGCTGACAGACGTGGCCCAGGTGCTTTCTTATGTTACGTGCCCGAATTTGTATTTATATTGACTCAAGTATTATATTTGCAAGAAGGTCCCCGATGTTTTATTTAAATAAAAATGCCGTCGATAGGACTGAAAAAAAATTTATTTAAAGGAGCCAGGTACAACGCCAGGAAGCACACATAACATACATTGCGGGCCGCACTGAACGGAGCAAAGGCCGAGAGAGAGAGAGAGAGAGAGAGATGGCAGTTGCTGATAAGCCTCATGCTGTGATGATCGCGTTCCCAGCTCAAAGCCACATCAAAGGACTCCTCAAACTTGCTAAGATTCTCCACCGAAGGGGCTTTTACATCACCTTTGTCAACACAGAATTCAACCAAAGACGATTCGTAAAAGCCCAAACACCCGATTCCCTAGTCGGGTTGCCTGATTTCCAGTTCAAAACGATTCCGGACGATCTTCCTCCGTCCGACCGGGATGCCACCCAAGATGTTACGGCTCTATGCGGATCCGTTAGAAGGAACATGTTGCCACACTTCCGGAATCTCCTTGGCCGACTCAACGACGCAGCACCTTCCGCTAATCCTCCGGTGACTTGCATCTTGTCCGACGGTTCTATGCCTTTCACCATCACAGCTGCTAAAGAGCTCGGAATTCCTGTTGCCGTTTACTGGACTTTTTCCGCTTGTGGCTTCGTGGGCTTTCACCAGTATCGATCTCTCCTGGACCGAGGTCTGACACCACTCAAAGGTACGTTAACATTGATATCTATTTCCATTTGTGTAAATTAACCAAGGAAAATAATATTTTAAAAATGAAAAAAATAAGACAAAGAACTGAATGCGTATACATATACTAGCGGAGTGGTACAAACAATTCAAAAGCAGTGCTGGTTCAAATTGGGATATTTGGTCACCCTAAGACATTGTTTGTTTGGAGGGAGATAAGAAGGAAAGAAAGGTGTAGACCGGGGGGGGGGGGTGGTGGATGAGCTTTCCATATTTTAAAATATATTATAAAAGAACATTTTATATAAAAAAAAATTAATGCTACAATTTTTTCGAAGGCCTTTAAAATTTATATTTTTGAATATACTTCAGAATTCTTTCTTAGCGGTCTTGTATTTTCTTTACTTTCACCTTGTCTATCCATCCAACCAAACAAAGTAAAGGGAGAATGAACTCCTTCTTAAGGTGAAGGAATTTTCTACCTTTCAACACCCCCATCAAAAGCCTTTCTCTTGTCAGGGGTGTTGGTGGTGGAGGTTGATTCAATTTAAAATTTAAGTTTAAATTAAATTATATTTATAGTTTATAATATTTAAAAATCAAATTAAATCATAAATATTTTTAAAAATTTAATCAAATCAATTACTTTTCACGGTTTGATTGGTTTGAAATATTAATTTATTGATATTTAAAATAAAAATATAATTCAGATGTTAATTACGTACACGATATATTCAATGACTTCAAGTTTTAACTCTAACTTTATTATATCGATAAAATATTACTTTCTCATTAAATTTTTTTCACAAGTTTTTGTAGATATATTAAAAAAAATAATATTTATATCAAAATTATACTATTATATTTTCAAAAATTAATCTCGTTTGCATAATCTTATTTGGGCAAAACTCTCCCTTTATATACTTTCTTATCATTTACTATTTACCATCCCTCTAATTACACACACACACATATATAGTTATATTTATACTTTGGGTTTGTATGATATAGTTTAGTTCTTAGAACCATAAATCAAATTGTATAAAAAAATTATTTTATAGATTAAACTAAATCAAATTACAAAGTGACAAGATAAACTAAACTAAATTATGATATAATTCAATTTAATAGATGTTTGATTTGATTTGATGTTTTAAAAATTCATATCTCTTGTTTTTGGTTTGATGTTTGATTTGATTTGATATTTTAAAAGTATTTATCTCTGATGCAGCCGTTTTTTTTGAGGTATTTTTGGCTATTCGTTTGAAAGAGATTTGAATATTCAAAGGTCCAAAATGAGTAACTTATAAGATAAAGATGAAACGACGAATTTTTATGTTTTTAGAAAAAAAAAATTGATTGATTGGTTAAATGATTTTATTGCCAATAGAAAGTATGAAATATGAAGGACAAGAGCTGGGAATGTTTAGTAGTGGTTTGTTTGGGAAAGTGCAGATGCAGGTTTCCTAGAGAATGAGTACCTGGAGACTAAAGTAGACTGGATTCCAGGAATGAGGGACAAGGATGTTCGTCTCAAGGACCTTCCAACGTTTTTCCAAACAACCGACCCAAACGACGAAATATTTAACTTAGCCATGGAAGCCGCTGAAAGAGCTGTGGAAGCATCAGCTTTCGGCCTACACACTTTTGATGCGTTGGAACCGGACGTTTTGGAAGCTCTGTCCTCTATCTTCCCTAACATGTACTCAATTGGTCCTCTGCAGTTGCTTCTGAATAGGACGTCAAATGGAGAAGACAAATTGGAATCTTTGGGCTACAATCTATGGAAAGAAGAACCAGAGTGTCTACAATGGCTAAATTCGAAGGAACCCGGTTCGGTGGTTTACGTCAACTTCGGCAGCGTCACCGTCATGTCACAGCAACACTTGGTGGAGTTCGCCTGGGGACTGGCCAATAGCAAGCGCTACTTTCTGTGGATTATTAGGCCTGACCTTGTGATCGGTAAGGTTGTCACAGTTAATGCGATTCAAAATTCAACATTGGACATAAATTTCACACAATTTATCTCACTTTTAGTGTTTTTAAATTGTTTCTATTTCTACTAAACCTTACAATAAATGAATACATTCATTGAGATAATACAATATCTTTAATATTCTCCTTAAAAATGCTGTCGTCTTCTTTCAAAATGAAGTTGGCCCACACTTTTTGTAATGATTTGGATTTATTTTATTGCGAGCAATGAATAATATCAAAGATATTTATTAATACAAATATCGATACATTCCCATTCAATAAAAACACTTTTGATACAAATTTGATATGATTTACTTCATTTTTAGTGCGCTTAATTATATTTAACTTTAATGATGTTTACAATTAAAATTTACTTATACATGCGAATGTAACAAAACACGTCATAACAAAAGCAAGTCTATCATTATGATCTTAATTTTTCTCCTACTTCAGTTATTCTTAATTTCACTAAAACTTTTAATTTTTACATATTTTAATATTACATACAAACTTGATTGACAAGTACAAACTGTCATCTCCAGGTGAGGCGGCGGTGTTGCAGCCTGAATTCGCAGAGGAAACGAAGGAAAGAGGGTTGATAGCTAGCTGGTGCCCGCAAGAGGAAGTACTGAACCACACCGCCGTGGGCGGATTCTTAACGCACAGCGGATGGAACTCTACCATCGAGAGCTTGTCGGCGGGGGTGCCCATGATTTGTTGGCCCTTCTTCGGGGATCAGCCGACCAACTGCAAATTCACCTGCACCACATGGGGGGTTGGACTGAGAATCGCTAGTGATGTTAAAAGAGACGAAGTGGAAGGGCTGGTGAGGGAGTTGATGGAAGGAGACGAGGGGAAGAAGATGAAGAAGAAGGCCGTGCAGTGGAAGGAATTGGCGGAAAAGGCCGCCAGTCCGGGCGGTTCATCTACTTTCAATTTGGACAAATTCGTCCAAGTATTGCTAAAGTAGATCTTACAAAATCCGAAAATAATATGGTTTGGGGAAGTGGCCCTAGGACTGCATTATTAATTATCTCGACGGGTAGATCATTAAAGTCGCAAGTGATTATTAGTTGGATAAAATAGCAGGAATAAAATAATTTATTAGCTCCAATTTCTTTCCCTTATAATTCAGTCAGTTGATTGGAATTAATGCAGCACACCTTTCATGCGTTGCAATGACGTGCTTTCTTGTCATTTCAATAAATTTGTAACTAACGAAGTTTTGATGAAGTAAATTGAAAGCATGTTTCTAGATAAACTCTCTTAATACTTTTTTTTTTCTCCCATCATGTTTGACACTTATATAATTTGGCTTTAAAAATTTAGGGAAAATCATCAAACTGGACAAATTAATGACCTGGAAGGTTAAAATGAATAATATTTTTGTTCGTAGTCAAAAGAAAAAATTATTTAGTTGAAGAATATTTTCAAAATACCTATATTACTTTTACATGCATATGTCTATAAAATTATAAAATATAAATATGTGTAATTATAAGTATATATCTGTATAGTTATAAACTTTGGTAGTACATAATACATGGTTGTAATTTCACGTACATGTACTTGTAATTTATCTTTGTAGTTACAAAAACCTTGGTAGTACTCAATACATGCTTGTAATTTCATGGACACGTATTTATAATTTATAATTATATAGATATATATATTTGTAACAGTTATTACTGGGTATATAATTATAGACATACATACTTATAACTATATAAATTTATATTTATAATTATATACTTATAATTATATAGATACATATTCATAATACTTTCTGCAAACATAGTAATTGGATATTTTGGATATGTAAAATGTTAATTGGACAATTTTATTTTTTTTTATAATCCTAAATGAAAATATTTTACATTTTAATTATCTGAATAATTAAAATTATCAAATCGTCCCACTAGGTAATTTTTCATTAAATTTATTATTATTATTATTTGTCATCTTATGCATGCCTTTCATTATAGGGCCTGTTCGGTATGCATGATAAGGCAGGATAAGATAAACTTATCTTGCCTTATCATGTGTTCGGATCGTGTGTAACAAGATGGGATACAGATACATATCAGTGGGTGGTGGGACACACTATCACGGGCGGCTAGGCATGATAACGTTTATCAGCGCTTAAATTTTTATTTTTAGACATAAATGCCCTTATTCAATTCCCAAATTTCCCTCACTCCCTCCTGTTCGAATTACAAGTGAAACCCGTCTTCCTTCTCCTGCCGATCTTTGGCTGCAGTTTTGGCTCAACTTCTGATGACGACCATGACCACGGTGCTGTTGGGCCACTGGAGGAATTTGGACATGAGAACTGTTTTTATGGCTCGGCAAAACTCATCTTCCAGAAAAATCTGGCCCGTTCACCTCCACCCACCACGCCTTTGACTAGTTCTTCACCCACAGCCGACGTGGCCCCTTGCCAGACCCGTCGTCAAAAGTTGAAGATTCGTTTTTCCAGCGAGTTCGTTTGGGTGGAATCTGTTTAGTCTCGTCTAAATAAGAGGTAAGCCCATGAAAGCTGTTAAAGTACTCATCCGTGGTTTGAGCTCCCTTAAAGAGAAATTTGTCTTCGGATTGAAATGCAGAGAAAAAATGGTCCAAAATGGGGTCGTCCTTTTGTCGGTGCTTGTCGCCATTGCTATTGTCGTCGTCCTTTGGGTTCCTTCAGTTCATGCCAGAGGAGGGCGCTCCAACAGATGTTCTGTTTGTTTGTTTTTCTTAATCAAAGAGATTTTTAGTAAATTTAGAATTTTATACTACTAGTCAAAATTTTTATCCCATTTGTTATCTATCCAACCGAACGTGTGATAAAACTATTTAATCCGGATAAATTTATCTAGTTATATATCCTATCACTCTAAATCCTATTCTCCCATCCGAACACCCCCATATATGAATAAGGACATATATAAGAACCCTTTGGTGCTTTGAAAACCCCTGTTTTTGCTCACTTTCTGCCATTGGGAGGGAATTTTCAAGCCTTGCACTCTAATTAGTTTGAAGTACACGTCACCGCAACAAATTATACCTTTAATAGGAATTATTTAATGGTAATTAAAAAATTGTCATTAATTTGTGTAAAATTTGAATATTTACCAACAATTATATAATTGCTGCTAATTAATTTTTTTAGTAGTAATCACTACAAGAAATTGTGCTATTTTCGTTGGACAAATTCTGTCGGAAAAGAAGGAAATTCCGTCAGAAAAACAGTTTCCGACAGAATTTCCGACGGCTAACTGTCCGTCGAAAAAAATCCCATCGGAAAATTTTTTCGACGGAAATAATTGCTTTGTCGGAAATTTCCGACAGAAAATGTTCGTTGGAAAAAAAGCTTTTCTGTCAGAAATTTCATTTGTCCGATGAGAAAAAAATTAGTCGGCCTGACGGAATTTCCGGCGGTCTTTCCAACAAACTTTCTGTCGAAAATTTCCAGTAGACTTTTCATTGAAAATTTTTGACGAACTTTCTGGCGGAATGTTTGTCAAAAATTTCTGGTAGCCTTTCCGGTGGAAGGTCTGTTGGAAATTTTCAGCGAACTTTCCAGCAGAAATTCTGGCAGACTTTCTTACAAAATTCTATTGAAAATTTCCGGTAGACCTTCTAGAGTAAGGAAATTCCAGCTAACTTTCTGATGATATTTTCAGCAGATAAACTTTTCCAGTGAACTCTTTGTCAATTTATTTGGCCAACCTTCCAGTCGACAAATTTTTTGGCGAAATTTCTGACAAGCTCTCCATCAACAAATGTTCCAACAAACTTTTTAGCAAGCAAAATTTTTTACATTTTTTCACTTTCAGCAAGCATAATTATTTTTTACATTTTTTCACTTTCAATCAAACCATAACTTATAGAAAAAAATCTTACTTGCACAGAAGCCAACTGATTCTTCCACAACGACAGATACATTAGGTAAATCGACGGTTAAGAGGAGGGGAAGAGAGAGGGAGACAGAGAGCGGGCTTGAGAGAGTGAGAGAGGAAGACAAAGAAAGGGAGAGACAGATGAAAGAGAGCAAAGTGAGAGAGTAGAAATAGAGAGACAAATTGAGTGAGAGGAGAGAGAGTTTAGAGAGAGAGACTGAGTGAGAGGAGAGAGAGTTGCGAGAGGAGACAAAGCAATGGAGAGAAAAACTGGAAGTTGTGAGGGTATGAAGAGAAACAGAGAAATGGAGAAAAGGATTTAAATTAACATATTTCGGACAGCTTTCAGAAAGCCGTCAGAAATTTTGACAGATCCTAGGGGATAGGACCCGTAACAACTATTTTGGCTTTTCTGACAGACCAGTATTTTAAAAAAATTTGATTTCGGCGCCCAAAGTGGGCGCACACTTCTTCAAAGAAATTAGTTTGGGTGCCCATTGTTATACAAAAATCAATATTATATTTTATCATTTATTATAATATATTATATAATAGATATAATATATTTTTTAATTACAAAAAGTAATTAATTTTAATAAAAAATTAATAATATATATAAATATAATATATATGGTATACACTATTAAATTTAATATTACACATGTATTTAGTATATAAAATTAGATTCTTAAAAAGCGGTTATTTTGTATATATTTAATATACTATATATATATATACTATGTATATATATAGTGTATATATATATACACACACTATAAAGTATATATATTATATACTATTCTACTTTGTGTATATATATATTATGCACTATACATATATTTTATGTTCTAAGTATACATAGTATATAGTATATATATATATATATATATAGTATATACTATTTTTGTACATATATAGTATATAATATGTATACATAATATATACACACTATATAATGTTTATACTAATATTATATATACAATGTAATGTATATACTATCTACTATATATACTAGGTGTACATAGTATACAGTATACATAGTGTGTATATATATATATATATAAATCTTTTATGAGATTTAATTACTTGTTAAAGTTAAAAAAAATTATTAAATTTTTTATATATTATATATAATATCACATATATAATATATATTAAAAAATATGTTATATGTAACATATATAACATATATAAAATTTAGTGTATATAGTACACATATATAGTATATATGTAATATTATTTATGTACTGTAAATGTAATATTATATATAATAATGTATATACTATATACTATAAATGCTATGTGTACATAGTATATAGCATACATAGTATATAGTATATATAGTATATACAGATCGTTATATGAGACTTAATTACTTGTTACAGTTAAAAAAATATATTAAATTTTTTATATGTTATATATAATATTACATATATAATATAAATTAAAAAATATGTTAATATGTAACATATTATAAAATATAATATAACATATACAAAATGCACTATATATAGTACATATCTATAGTATATATGGAATATTATATATAATAATGTATATACTATGCATAGTATATAGTATAGTACATATACTATACACTATGTACAAATATAGGATATATATATACACACTATATATACTATATACTGTCCTACTTTAGTGTATATATATATACATATACTATATACTATATATATAGTATATACTATTTATACATAATATATACATACTATATAATGTATATACAATATATTATATATACAATGTAATGTATATACGATATACTATAAATACTATGTGTACATATTATAATTGTACTATATATGTAATATTATATATAATAATGTATATACTATATACTATATATACTATTTGTACATAGTATGATGCAGAGTAGGCAAGGGAAGCGGATTAATCAAAGAAGATGAATATTCGAAGACAGGAAAATAAGTATTCAAGTAGACAGAGGCTTACAAAAGATAGTCTGGAATTTTATTCAAATACTGGAATATTATACAAGAGAAGTAGGCAGTCGGATGATGGCAAGTGAAGGCAAGATTCTTAGCAGAAGATCTTAGCTAGTTCA